AGATCCAGGACTAATAGAATGAGTAAAATAAGAGGAGTTGTAAAAAAAGGCTTGATCATGGATTCAATTGATGGACGAGGATGCGACACGATACTCCACGAGATTAACAACGCGACGACACACGATGCACTCAATCTCCGACCGAGAATGCGATACAATTTACTCCATACAGAGCAGAGCTCCACCGTTGCGTCTTGCACCCTCCCCTGCATTTTGTCGGTGCGGGGAAGGTTATTGTGAAGTCGGTCTGTGATGCCGTTTTTTTTTTTTTTTTTTTCGCTTGGTGCCTCGCTCCTCCTTCCACCATCCGCTCCGCTCCTCTGCCAGGGCCTTCTTCATCGCGCCTGCCCCACTGCGGGCCAGACTCGGCATCGCTGCGCATGTGTCAAAGAAGTACCTCGCACATGCTGTCCCGTCAATTGCTCCTTCTCGTCACGGACGCTGCCCGAGGAGGGAGTCAAAGAGAAAAAGGAGGGAAACCCTAAAGCGAAAAAGTACTTGTACTGATACTTCGTAGCAGAGGCGAGCTTGTAAGCGAAGCTAGGAAGGAGCCGGGGACAAAGGGCGGGAAGCTGCGATTGAAGAGTTGAACTTATTTTCTCTCATCGACTCAGCTCCGAACACCGCCGGAGACGATAGGCTCTAACCTTGATTCCAGCTAACCTAAATTGCAGCCTGTAGCGCTTACATAACCATGTCTGCTAGTGCGAGCTGGCCGGTCCTTCTGGACCCTGCTTCAACAAAAATACAGGCCTTGAAGGTGAGATGATGGCGAATTGACGAGGGAAAGCCTAATGCTGCAATTGGTGAATTTGTCTGGCAAGAATCGATCCCATTCCAGCCATCGACAAAGTAATTGATGCGTCTTTGACAGTGTCAGTCCCAGCATCAGTGTGTGTCAATGCCCTTGCAGACACGCAAACACGCATTACGCATGAAGCTGAGATATAATAGGTCAACGACAGTCAATTGTCCACGCATCGCCAATATGCTCAGCATTGATTGATACCACCATTATCAGCCGTATTATATTCAGATCGAGAGGTGTCGAGTGCCTCTCGGTCGTTCTCTGTTCTCCGCCCAGTGTCTGACTGACCGTGCCAGCGTCACCTGCATTCAGTTACCGATTTTGATGGCGTTGCGCTCCGACATGGACCGACCAGCCATCAACCCAAGCCGCCGCTATCCCACGGATCCAGCCACAGAGTTTTCCTTGATCGGCATCCTCGACCAGACTTTGCTTTTCGCAAAAAAAAAAAAAAAAAAAAAAAAAAAAAAAAAAAGAAATCTCTCCTCACAGTTACTTCCTCCTGCTGCTGCTTCACGCTGCCTTGCCTGGTTCCGTGACATTCTGGCTACACCACGATGCCACGATAACGCACTCTTCCGGTAGCAGTAGGCGAGCATGGGCCTGGGCAGCCCATTCTGCATGGAACCCTGATTTATCTGTCCAGTCGCAGACCGCAACGCTACACCTTCCGCATTGTGCCGATGCATCTCCCATGATCCAAAACTCCCTTGCCTTTGCCTAATACATAGTGTACAATGGGTGCAGTCTAAATGCCTAGACCCTTAACTCGCACCTGAAGAGACTATTGTCGCTCGCCCATCGCTCGTTGCTCATTGCTTCGACGGGACGGGCTGGCTTGTCGTCGATGTGCTTGTTCCACTCTTCGCCTCTCCCCTAGTTCCATTTCTGTCCATTCCTGGCACCCTTCCCCTCAACACCTGCATCTTTTGTTGGCTCGTTTGGGTTGTGAGTCCGAGAGTTCTGCACCAGCGTGATAGAATGAGCCTACACCGGCGGATTAGCCAAGCACATCAGCCTGTTTGCTTTTGGGGATCTCTGCTGCTCCTAGCCAGTTTGAGTCCGTCGCTTTAACTTTTTTGAACCAAAATGCACGAGCAAGGGCCCCGCCTCAAAACCATGCATGTTCCCGATGCGCCGACACTTGCTTTGTGTGCCCAGTCCTCTAATACCATTGATGTCTCTCTCGACGCCCGTTCTCGTGTAAATGTTTGCTTCTTCAACACCTTTATTCATCCCTAGATGCCAGCTTTAATCCTCTCAATTTACTTTTTATTGGTCTCATTGACTTGAAAACCTCGTGTCCTATTCAATATAGGCACATGCACGACAGGAACGCTGATCCTTATCGTCATTCCATACCTCGATCCTTATATACTCGCTGGGTCGCTGTGTGCTCTCATCCTCTCATTTAACTCTTTACGAAATCTCCGCGTGTCCACCTGCTCTAACATTGAAATCCCATCGGTGTAACAATATTGGTCTAGAGTGCCCGTGGGTCGCCAACTGAAGCGGGTTGAAAAGTTGCGAAGGACTCTCAACCGCAATTAGAATCCTTGTCTCAGGCGAGGAACAAAACAATCCATGATTCGCCTACTAAATACCTCGACCTACAGGTTTGAGGAATTTCACATTCATATTCCGCCATATGCCATTTTATCGCACACCTGGGGAAATGATGAAGTCCTCTACCAGGACCTGGCCAACGGCATATCGGCTTTAACTCACCGCCAGGGCTTCGCGAAGGTCAAAGGATGTTGCACCCAGGCAAAATCAGTCGGCCTCAACTGGGTATGGATCGATACTTGCTGCATCGACAAAACCTCTGGCGCCGAGGTGTCCGAAGCCATCAACTCCATGTATGCCTGGTACCGCGACGCCGAAGTATGCTACGTGCACTTGGCCGACGTGCCAGGATTTCGCTTTTCAGACAGCCTATGGTTTGAACGGGGTTGGACTCTGCAAGAGCTTATTGCGCCGAATTATGTCGAATTTTATACCTCGGATTGGATTGAAATCGGCACCAAGTCGAGCCTGGAGCCGATCATCTCTACTGCCACAGGCATCAGTGTCGAAGTCCTGCGAGGTACCAAACCACCTAGCGCTTGCACCGTTGCTGAAAGACTCAGCTGGGCCGCTGGCAGGCAGACCACGAGGCTAGAGGATGAAGCTTACTGTCTTCTGGGCATCTTCGACATTAACATGCCCATAATCTACGGCGAAGGCCGACGTGCTTTCGAACGGCTCCAGCAGGAGATTTTAAGGCAATCAGAAGACTTCAGCATCCTAGCTTGGTCTCCTTGGGTTGGCCGACACCCTGTGGGATCCTCGTCCTCCGGGGTATTGGCCCGAAGCCCGGCTGCTTTCAAACGGGCCGACCTAACTTCCCATCTACCGGCGACCACCTTTGGATTCGACGATGCCGAGTCGATGCTCTTCGCTGACATGGGCTCCTTGGAGTGGGGTGACCTTGAGCCGCACAAGTGGAATTCCAGGTCGAACCGCTTACCACTGCATCAGTTCCTCTTCGATCCTCCCTTGATAACTAGCCGGGGAATTTCCGCGACGCTGCCCATTGATCTGAATGATCCAGATGGCATGGAGCTTGATTTGGCCCAATGCAGAAGCGGGACGAAAGAGGTCCTAGCTTGGGTATACACCGACGTCTCGCCCACTCGTTTGGCCTCGAATACCTCGCGAGCCCCCTCAAGGAACAGCTCACGCACGGGAAGCCGACAAAGTATTACAGACCATGGCATGATGATTTGCATTTGGCTCACCGTCTCCTTTAACAACCTTGATGATCTTGAAACTCCCCTGAGAGCGGTACGCACCCCCGGGAAGGGCCCGGTATGTGTGCCGATAGTTTTCTTGCATCGCTTCCAGGCTCGGCACATGTATCTGCAATACGCCCCGGACAAGCAAGTTCAGGAGAGCCCAAGACGCCGGACTTCTCTGGGTTACGAGCCTGCTGCAAGGTCTCTGAATATCGCGCTCAACGAATGTCCAAAATCGTCTTGGAGGATCAAGACCGTGTCTCACTATCCGCAAAAGTCCGTCTTTCAGCGTCCTACCGCCGAGACTCGCGATCCGCACACAGGCGAAACCATCCCTGGTAGGAACGGCGCTGTATGGAGCTCACCCAAAGACAGCTTCACAGTCGTCACATCAAGCGGCAAAGTAATTGAGGCCGCCGGGGCATTGCGACTGACTCTACAGTGTTCCGAAGAAACCGCTGGGGCATTGCGACTGACTCTACAACGTTCTGATACCAAAGAAACCGCCGGCCAGTTCGTCGCTCTCTTTTCCCACCCTCATCCACACCGCCAGTTTTCCTGCTACCTCGAACCCGTCGAGGAGCCGGATCTGGAAGGCGAGGAGCAGCATTTCTGGTCTCGGTTTCTTTCAAGGAGACGGCGGACGAGCAATGATATCCTACCACAGGCGACAGATCGGAGTTCTTTAGTTTTTGCATCGGGAATGTCTGTGAAGGCGGCGATTAGGAAGCAAGGGGTTGGGCCGCTGGGGACGTTTATTCCGACGTTGACGTTGGGGGTGGTCAGTGATGGGCGGGCGTTGGCTGTTATGAATCAGCTTTTGTCGATTGTTAACTGATGTTATGAAGATTTACGATTGATGGATGAATCTGATATTGTTCCAAATATATGTATAAATTGTATGGATTAATGAAATCTATTGTCTGGATACGCAGTCTCAGTCCTCCAGCAGAGACAGTTTACATGCGGAATCGAACGCTGGATCTCTCGGCAGCCAGTACTTGGGATCACGACCCGGGAACTGGTAGGAAACCACCGGTGTAGAGGCGAGCGATGGATGAGGTTGTCTGCAGTTCACCGAGTGTCTGACTAGACGGAGACGATGTTCAGAGAGGAATTCCCTTTCAGAAGGGACTGGACAGTTGGATTTACGTGCAGCATTTTTATTTATTTGGTTGTCCCTCGATGGCGACCAAGTCGGGTCTAGCGGCTTCTGGCGTAACACAGCCTTGATCACTCAATTTCCCCTTCGAAGCCCACATGCCACCTCACATCGACTCTTTTCTGGACATCGTCAGTTAATATTGTGCTTCCTTTTGTTTTCTTCTCATTTAATAACTAATATATTGCAGGTTGGGGTTGGAAGGAGCACCTACGTCCCTCTCAATGCATCCCTCTTTTGGGGTTGACCTGCAATGCCAACACTCTCGTTTTCCGCACCGTCGAGGGCTCTCATCATTCTTTTAATCGCCTTGTCAGTCTTTAGTTTGGACGTGTATTCTCATCCAGACATTAGCCATGAGCGGCATCAGCAGCGTCTTCAAGAGGGCGCGGCTGAGGAGCACCGCCCCGTGGTTATGGGCAGCCGTCCAGGCTACCAACTCTACTCGGCGGAGGATCTCTCGGGCACTGATTTCTCAACGATTTGCCGGACAGCGCTTTCAGCCATCATCATGTGCCGGGACTATACAAGGATCTTTACCACGCCCAAGTACTTTGGCACCCCTCTCTCGGGTGACGCAGGTGATATCTGCACGGATGAATGCAAAAGCTCTCTAGAGGCCTGGTATCACGGCGTGAAGGAGCATTGTGAAGACCAACGGTTTGACAACGGGCTACCGGCGTACCATTATGGCGGGTCCATTTTATATGGGTACACGGAGACTTGCCTTCGGAATGCTGCTGGGGATTACTGTAACGGTTTGTATTTTTCGATGACCTCGATGCTGCTGGTCGAAATGCTAACCCTTGTCCGTAGATGTGATTGACGGCTTCGATGGAGACGACCGCGCTGTCGGGGACATGCCCATTATCGAACTCTGCGATGAATGCTTCATTCTCAAGCTACAGACAATGCAAAGCAGCTCATACTCCGTCATGTCTTGGTCGGAGTTCTACCAGGACCTCTGGGCTCGCGCCGTTGACGTCTGCAACATCTCGGGTGCTTCCTGGGACGCTCCGGATCCTGTGCTCCCTGGAGAAGATCTTGGTCCTCCGTTTTGCCTCTCAAACAATTATTATACCACGGTGCCAGGGGATACTTGCGACACCATCGCTCTCGCAAACAACGTTCCCTCGGCCGGGATTGTGCTTGGGAATCTTGGCCTCTTCGCTGAGATGAACTGCACCCACCTCACGCCGGGCACTAAGATATGTTAGCCATCAGGCTGTACCGTTTACCAATTACGCCCAGAGGATGGCTGCAGAAGCATCCGGATACGCACGGGTGTGTGACACCTCGAAGAGATGAACTCTTGGTTGTCGTGTGACTGTAGCAACCTCCACGATAACACCGCAGGCCTCGGGAGCATCATTTGTCTCACTCCCCCAGGAGGATTATACGAGGATCAGCCCGCTGACGGCCCTGACCACCTGGGTCACTCTGATCGGCTTGTCTCGAGAGAAAGAGCACCTCTTCCCGACGGCGCCGTCCCCGCCGTCGGTACTTCTCTTGATTGCTCTCTTGATTGCGGCGGATGGTCCATGGCTGAGGAGTCCGACGACTGCACATCCCTCATCACCCGAAACAATATGGCCCTAGATGACTTATTGAATCTAAACCCGAGCCTGGGTGTGAATTTCGCCAGCCGTTCCGCGGGGTTCACTATCAACGCGGCTTACTGTGTCCCATGGTATTTCCCGCCGAGACCGCCGCAAAGAGTTAGCCGACTCGGCTGCTGGCGAAACCTCGACGAGGGCTTCTATCCTCTCTACCACAGAAGCTACACCGACGAAACGGACATGGACGTGTTACAATGCGTCAGGTTTTGTAGGTCGGAAGGATTCCTGTATTCCGGTATTCTTGCCGGAATTAAGTGCTTCTGCGGGGCGGAGATCGACATTAACTCTGAGCTGCTGGACAGCGCCGAATGCAACGCAGCCTGTGTTGGCAATGAGAACCATCAGTGCGGCGGTATGACAGACGCCATCACGGTCTACGGCTTAACGGACACTCTCAAGTTCACGTGGGCACGCGTGGGCTGTTTCGAGACCTCGGCCGAAGACCCTACATTATCGGGAACTCTGACGACAATTATGTATAACAGCCCCGCCGACTGCGCGAGGGCCTGCTTGAACGACCATGGCTTCTTCGGCTTGCATAACGGTGACAAGTGCATCTGCGGCGACGAGATCAACGAGAAGACTGCTCAGGTTGCTGACGAGTTGTGCGATATCAGGTGTGTGTTGGGCTCTACGTGCGGCGGCGCAGAGCATATGGAGGTTTATGGTACCAAACTTGTGAGGCCGCAGCCTGAGATAACGCACCCTCCGGCGCCGGATTCTCTCGATATGACACTCCCTAAGTGGATACCGTTTCCGACGGAGCCGGTGGATCCTTCACGTCCTTGGTTCTGACCTTATTGAGTGGCGATGAGCTTCCGAAGTTATGTCAGACTGGATGATTGCCGGGGGGGCTGAATTCGGTCAACTAGTTGGAACTTATCCATGTTCTACATTTGATGTCACCACTCGGGGATTTGAATCTCTTTTAATGCCACGCGCTTCGTAAAAGAGAGTCTAGTGGAGATAACTAGCCGGTTATGAACATAACGAGAAGATGCATAGGAAAAAAGATTCTATCGGAAACGCCTAACGCCTATATTGTAGCCGTAGCCCATGTTCCTGACTTAGAGTGCTGTCCGCACTCCCTCGTCGTCCTCTACTCATCTGTATCTATTGACTCCATATACGATTCAATATCCTCCTCGCCCACACCCAAACTCTTCAAGTAAGCCCTCTGCACGGCCTCAGGTCCAAGTTCCCTTAGGCGTCGCATCTCCGCGAGCTGGCCATCAGACAATTTCGACGACGCCTCCCCCCAACGCTCGATTTCGGCAAAAGTCTCCTGCCTCGCGGCGGCGCCGGCTTCCCACGCGGCTCGCTTCTTGTCCATGTCACGGTGCCACGCCAGGCTCTCCTCTTCTGACATACAGTCCAACTCGCGCATCCGCTGCAGGGTTTTCTCCCGCCTAACCCGCCGCCTCTCAGGAGCATGGTAGACTAGGGCGGCTTTGCGAAAGAGGGCGCCTATGCCTTCGAGATCGAGAAGACTGTTCGTGGCGGCTTGGACGAACCCATCAGTGGATAAGGCATTAGGTGAAGATAGAGAGGCTAAGAGGGTCCTGCCAGTGTGAAACAGCTCGTCACCAATCGGATGAAAGTTGCGCAAAAACAGACGGAACTGCCTGTCTGTCAGGCCATTCATGTTCTCGGTCACGTATTTCACAACCTCGGCTATAGAGTCAAGATTATACTCGTCGCGGATGGCCTGCTTGACCATCTTGGGGGGAGGGCGACCGACAATCCAGTAACCCTGATCTTCAGTCAAGAGGCCAGGCAAGGCCACAGCGAGGCCGAAAACATCCTCACGGTGGAGGAAGAAGACGCGATCCTCTGGCTCGAGCGATGGGTTATCTTCACCAGCTTGTTTGAACAGGGCCTTGAGTTCCTCGACGATCTCGTCATCCATGTTTTCTGCACCGGGTATAATGATGGGTGAAAGCTCAAAGCCTGCTTCGCGCGGAGCAGAGCTTTGCTCGGCTGGACCCTGGGGACACATGTCTAGATGTAAACCGGTTGCGAAGGAGATAGTGTCATGGAGGAGGCGATCCAGGCTCTCCGAACCGAATGAGCGTGGGTCGATGGTGGATGCAAGAACGATGTAAGGCAGAAGGACTGAGAAAAAGAACATCGAATTTGGAGACTGGGTCGTACCGTGATAGAGTTAGGATGGAATTAGCTCAGAACCTCACTCTTCATGATGTTTGTGAGATATTTAGAGAGCCCGAAAGGAAATGAGGTTCACGTTTAGACACTGCCAAGAGATGAGGCTCCCTGGCTTGTCACGTGCCATGCGAACCCAGCTCGAGATGCTCAATCTCAACATCCCCTTTTCAACTTTTGCGTTTGATTGCTCCCCACCGGCTTGTCACCACCCAGAAGCCGCTGGAGGTTAATCTGGAAGCAGGGTAGGTCATGGCTCTTCGCTTCGGCGGCAGGCGAGCTGCGAGCTATCCGCCACTTCTTTCCAGCATCCTGCTCGTCTTGCCCGTTTTCTCCCTTATCACGACCTCCGTTGCCTGATGTGATGTAGATAGCACTTGCTGTTCTAAGCTTGACCTTTGCAGATTGGGATCTGACTGTGAGTTCTCCCTCTCTTGCAGTCCCCTGGAGCTGAGCCGTTACGCTAATATGCTCCTTTGGGGGAGGTGGTTGCGCTCTCTTAGTCTGCAGCGCTGAGAACTGCATTGGTGGTTGCGATGCTAAAGCCTTCTTCGACCCTGGTAGCTACGGTCCGGAGCACTCACAGGTAACCGCCGGTCCTTTGAACGTTTGTTGTTCAAAATGGGGGTCCGTTTCTGTCTTTCCATTCTCTCTTATTTCCGTTCTCCTCCCTCGAGTCTAGCATTCCAGAGCTGACTTGTAGCTAGATGGTGTGGCACGACCGCAGAGTTTTGCGGAGAGAAAATGGCCAAGGGACCTCCGTGCCCAGCCAACGAGAAAACGCCTATGAAACGGGTCGTTGGATATTTCGAAAGCAGTGGGAAGCCCAGGCGCAGGTGCCATACCGTCGAGCCAGAGGACATCCCCATCGGCGTTTACACGCACATCAACTACGCCCATGCTCACATAGACCCCGAGTCATTCCGTATCTTTCTAGCCAGATTACGCGATGTCTCTCTCTATCGAGATGTAACCGGATTGAAGAAGCGCAACAAGAACCTCAAGGTGTTTATTTCAATCGGCGGCTGGGCTTTCACCGGGCCAGGCCTTACCAGAGAGACATTCTCGAGGCTTGCAACAGACCCAGATAAACAGAGGGTCTTTTTCTCGTCTCTGGTGTTCTTCATGAGCACGTACGATTTTGATGGTGTCGATATTGACTGGGAGTATCCCGGTGCACCGAACCGAGGTGGCCGTCCCGAGGACTTTGAAAACATGCCCGTGTTCATTGCGAATCTGCGTAAAGCCTCACAAAGCTCGGGCACGGGTCGGACGGGCGTCTCCGTGGTATTACCCGTAGCTTATTGGTACCTGCAGCATTTCGATATCAAAAATATAGCCCCATACGTCGACTTCTTCAACGTGATGTCTTACGACCTGCACGGAACGTGGGATAAGACGAGCAAATGGGCAGGGCCGTACCTCAACTCGCACACCAACCTGACCGAGATTACCGAGCATCTGGGCCTGCTGTGGCGCGACGATATAGACCCTGCCAAAGTCAACATGGGCTTGGCATTCTACACTCGTCACTTGACCGCCGCAAGCCTTGATTGTATGGAACCCGGCTGTATATACGAGTCCGTGGGCCCCAAGGCTATGGTACTGATACCCTTGGGATGCTCAGCATCGCCGAGATCATGGACCTTGCGGAACAGCCCGGACCTGCCGCGGTTCTTGATCCGGAGGCCGCTGCCAAGATCCTGCAACGCGGTCGCCAATGGGTCACGTACGACGACGAGACGACATGGCACTTGAAGCTTACGAGGGCCCGGGAACTGTGTCTCGGGGGCGTCACGGTGTGGGCGGTTAGCCAGGACGTAAGCAGCGGTCGCTTCTCCCGCGAGTTGCAGGCCGCGACCGGCTACAGCTCCCCAGGGTCCGCCGAGTACGATATGGGTAACGGCGAGATGCTCCAGACTGCTGTTGGCGAAACTCTGACTGACCAGTGCCGGTGGTCTGGATGCGGCAAGGAGTGTCCTAATGGATACTTGGCCGTGCCTCGACGCGAGGGCTCTCGCATGAAAGGCGTCATGCGAGATCCGACCGGCTGCATCGGCGGACAAACGTCGGTATTCTGCTGTCCGGCCGATAGGAATATGCCGTGGTGTATTTGGAGCGACTTTAATAATGGCCGCTGCGGAAAGGAGAATCAATCCCAATGTCCTAGTGGATGGTCTGAGATTGGGAGTCACTCGTTAGCCTGCCGGTCCAATTCCCACTGGCAGGTCGCTTGCTGTGCAGCGACCGGGGATTTCACCGACCTCTCGATCAGGAACTACGCCGCATGCAGCTGGCAGGGTACGCCGCCGAAATGCAGCTTCGACAAGGGAACTGACTCTGCCTGCAACAACGCTGATGGCCGCCAGTACCTCATGGACTCATACGGCGGCAGCGGTGGGGCCCAGTGCAGCGGAGCTGACGACTCCGAATCCCCCCGTGCATATTGCTGCGACGTGGACTCTCAGAGTCATGCAGACTGGGGAGATTGTGAGTGGAAGGGTGGCAACAGGGACAGCAGCGGACATTGCCCGTCTGACTGTCCGGCCGATACGGTGCGTGTGGCGTTTGAGCCCGCACCTCAATGCCTCACGGGCGGAAGATCATATTGCTGTTCCGGCCCTTCGAAGGCGAACCGGCGCGAGATCCCTTGGGAGAAATAGCGGACTAGCTTAGAGGCCGCGATCAATGGCGAGTGTAAAGATATGTTTTCCATACTCCAAGGAAGGGATGTTGCCAACCTGGGTCTGTACTCGCCGGGCAGCTCCTACAGACTGGTAAGAGCCTATTGATGTCCGCATTGCAGCGACAAAAAAAAAAGAGGATAGGGATGCTCTCCCCAAGGAGCTCGATTCACGGAAACTCAACAGGGTGAGCCCGCTAGGCCCAAGCATTTCGGAAGGCATCTCTTTCCTTCTACTTCGAATTCTTTAATCTTTAATTTCCGTTTTCTCATCTTTCTTTAGTCCTTGGGTCGGCCGGAGGTCATAAGTCCGCTCTCATATACCGCCCGACAGGGTCCTAAAGGCGGTTTTCATTTACCCAGGAGCCAGGACAATACGACCGGGTCTCCCCGCACTTATGATGCATCCCGCTCAACGACGCGTCCTGGTGTGTCTGGAGGCGGGAATTATCAGATCCCGGGATGGTGGTATGAAAGAAAAAAAAAAAGGCATATAAATGCGTCCTTGATCATCTTCTTCCACCAGGGCTCTAGAAAAGTTTAGGTTTCATCCATCGGGTCTCTCATTCAATCAGGCATCTTTTTTTCACTTCGAGACTGGAGATATTGTGTTAAGAATGTTGGTCTCTTCTGTGCTTCTCGCCTCGCTAGCGGCAGGTCTAGCCCAAGCCAGCCCAGCACGTCGCCAGTCCTCCGATTTCGCCACGGCTACCGGAACCCAATTCACCATTGACGGAGAGACCGGGTACTTCGCCGGCAGCAACTCGTACTGGATTTCCTTCCTGACAAACGATGCCGACGTGGACCTAGTGATGGACCACTTCTCGAGCTCCGGGCTGAAGATCTTCCGTGTCTGGGGCTTCAACGACGTCAACTCGGAGAGCAACCAGGTCTGGTACCAGCTCCTGTCTGCGTCCGGCTCACGTATCAATACCGGCGCCAACGGGCTTCAGCGGCTAGACGCCGTAGTCGCATCGGCCGAAAAGTACGGTGTCAAGCTCATCATCAACTTTGTCAACTACTGGGACGACTACGGCGGCATGAACGCTTACGTCAAGGCCTTCGGTGGCACCAAGGCTGGCTGGTACACCAACGACAAAGCGCAGACGCAGTACCGCGCGTACATCGCGGCTCTTGTTAGTCGATACAAGGACTCGAAAGCCGTTTTCGCGTGGGAGCTCGCCAATGAGCCAAGATGCCAGGGCTGCCAGACGGATGTCATCTACAATTGGGCCAAGGCCACTTCGGAATATGTCAAGTCGTTGGATCCGAATCACATGGTGACGCTGGGTGATGAGGGGTTCGGTATTGCGGGTGGGACGAGCTATCCGTTCCAATTCTCTGAGGGTGTAGACTTTGCGAAGAATCTTGCGATTGAGACGCTTGATTTTGGTACCTTCCACATGTACCCCGAGTCTTGTGAGTACTCTGCTCTCCAACACTCCGATTCCTGGACGATGTATGAAGCATTTCGCACCGAGAAGACTAACCAACGACTCTCCAGGGAGCGTGGACTCGACCAACTTTCCAATTGAGTGGATCAAGGCTCACGGAGCTGCTTGTGTGGCCGCTGGGAAGCCGTGCCTGTTGGAAGAGTGTAAGTTTCTTCACCGTGGAAGTTCGTGGCTTTGGGTACTAACTATAGTAGACGGAATGACAACGAACCATTGCGGCACCGAGGCGCCGTGGCAAAAGGCCTCGCGAACGACGGAGGGCGTGGCAGGCGATCAGTTCTGGCAGTGGGGCGACCAGTTGAGCTCTGGCCAGACGCACAACGATGGACATACAATTTACTACAACAGCGCGGACTTTAAGTGTTTGGTGACGGATCACGTTGCTGCCATCAAGAGCGGCAATTAGGAATGAAAATAGGAGCATGTAGATTAATTCTACTTTGTGTAATTTTTCTAACTAACAAAATGCTTCACTATAGTCGACCTGCGTAGGAGAGTGAAGAAGGCCTGTGTTGTGAAGTGTTGACCAAGGTGCTGACCGAGAAGAAAATAAACTGGTCCTACATTTGGACAATCTTCAATGTCGTTTGCAAGTTCGTCCGGGTGTGGAATCATAATGCAACCCACCGACGCGACTCCTGTACTTCGGTGCGATCTTCGCCGCCCAGCTTTCCCTTTACCCTGTTCCTACCCTGTCCGGGGCGGAACAGGTCCCTCCGCGACGCCAACTACCGAAAGCGGACCCACTCCACCCGCGAAAGTCGGAGGAAGACCTCGTAACGGGACGTTCCATTTTGAGCGCTGCTCTTTGCTCGCTGCCATTTGACGCTTGGGACATCTCCACCAAGCCGGGGAATCCTATTTGTTTCCAAAATTAGGTATGTAGCATTTCCCCCGTGTCAGTGGATAATCCGGGGAATTCCTTGGTTCATATTTAGATTGGGGTATTGCAATGGAGGCTGAAAATGGGACGGGCGGATGCGAACATGTATGATTATATATTATGAGTCTGGGGTGACCTGCTTTTGATCTTTAGTAATTTGATCTGGTGTTGGCTGGGATTACAACTCGTCTTGGAGGTTGTAGAAAAGGCATTTCTTATCCTTTTCTGAATAGACCTCGCAATGGTGTTGGGATACGCGGGGATAGTTTCAGCGCTTGCTTTCCTGGGGGCAGTTCTTGGGCAGGGGAATCCTGTCAAGATCATGGCACTCGGTGATTCCATCACGGGAAGCCCTGTAAGTTTTCTTCTACTTCTCCCCTTGTCAGGTTTCGAGACGACACTAACATGTCCACCAAGGGCTGCTGGCGTGCCCTCCTCTGGCAACGCCTCCAAGCTGCCTCGATAACCAACACAGACTTCGTCGGCACCCTCCCGGGCCAAGGATGCAGCTTCACCTACGACGGCGAGAATGAGGGCCACGGTGGGTATCTCTCGACCAACATTGCCAGCCAGGGCCTGCTCAAGGGGTGGTTGCAGAGCACGAAGCCGGATGTGGTGATGGTGCATCTGGGGACGAATGATGTGTGGAATAATAAGTCGCCGGAGGAGATTATTGGGTCTTTTGAGAGCTTGCTTGGGGATATGAGGGATAACAATCCTGCGATGAAGGTGTTGGTAGGTTTTGCTTTTCTCAAGTTACTCCTTTTTCTTTCGCATTGCTCCGTACTAATGAAAGGGAAAATCTAGTTCGCCCAAATCATCCCCATGGCGCCCTCCAACTGCCCGCAATGCGGCTCCCGCGTCGAAGCTCTCAACGCCGCCGTGGCGGAGTGGGTTCCCACGGTTTCGACGGAGGAGAGTCCCGTTTCGGTCGTGGACTGCTGGACCGGTTTCGACACGGCGAAGATGACGGGGGATGGTGTGCATCCTAATGCGGTTGGCAATGAGGCGTTGGCGGACAGCTGGTTTGAGCCTTTGGCAGAGGTGATTCGGAGTTTTGGATAGGTTGACGTGTTGGTGAGTCGATGCATGGTCTATCCAATGTCAAACAATCTAGTATCAAAGACCAATTCAATTGCCAAATATGAAAATAGTAGACGAATATCAAAATGGTGAATTCAGTTGGTGATGTTTTCTCCGCGAGAAATGAGGAAGGAAGGAGCCTGGTCAACACCGCGCCTTCCCGTCTTCCCAACTCCATCTTGAAGACCAGAATAAGCCTTAAATACCAAATGTGGAGCCAGGATTTCCAACACCCACCAGCAGGGAAGCGCGGCGGTCTTGGGAGTCACTCATCAATGGAATGCTTGAACTCCTGGGTCCCCAGAAAGTACCTGCTGGGTTCGAAACGCAGCGCGCGCGGAATAGAACATATTTTTTTTTGCCTCTTTTCTTTTTTGTTTTAATATCATCTACTCTTCGTCATTTTTTCAATTTATTTTATTTATTTATTTATTTATTTTTATTTTATTTTTTCTAATTTAATTTCTATTTCCCTTAGGTTCCAACCTTCTCCTCTGCTCTATGATGGTCTGAGATCTCGATATGGATTGCTTAATTCCCCCGATTGATGCATGGTCCCTGTTTCTCGCTTATCGGTGTCGTCACTGGCTGGTTGCAGTGGCGCCTTCCTTTTCCTGCGACAGGTACTAGACACTGCCGCCCCCACCCTGCCAGGAACGGCTCATTTGAACCAATCACATCGTAGATGGACCAGGCAAGGTCGAGCTCCGGTGGGTCCAAGACAAAAGGTACCTTTGTACCCCGATTTCGTCTTGGTGCATTCGCATTCGTGCTTGACTTCGCCATCTGCCTGTATCATTCCGGACTCATACTTTGCCCTTTCTCTCCCCTCCCTCTCTCGATTCTCCCGACATCTTCACCTTGCCTTCCCCGGTCCCTTTCCAATTAATCCCCGACCCCTTCGGAGCCCGCGTCTTCGTCCCAACAACCCACATGCATTCGTCCTCGCCCACCATGCAAACCCCGTCCGCATCAACCTTCTCCCTCCGCCTCCATCACCCGGACGACCGCCCCGACACTCCCCCGTCGCCTCTCTCCGCCGCGACCAAAGCCTTCATCATCTCTGGCATTGACAAGCGCACCGGCGCCGACCGCATAGTCTGCGAATCCTGCTTCGAGCAGCTCGACGAGGCCCAGCGAACGAATCTGAGGGCCGCCCCCTGGTCCGAGGGATGTCTTCTCTGCGAAGTCAAGGAGGATAAGCCCGAGGCGTACACGCGGCCCTTTTGCGATTTCTTGACGGAGAATCCGACCGTTTTTCATGCTGTTCAATATTTCAAGGAGAAGCTGAGCGCTGCTGGCTTTGAAGAGGTTGGTCTACTCCCCTTGTGTTGTATGTGTGTGCCACCTGGCCAGGGACTCAATTGACGAATTGCAATGCGAATTTAGCTCCCCGCGAGAGATCAATGGCTCGGACAGATTAGACCAGGCGGAAAGTACTGGGTTACAAGGAACGGAAGCTCCCTCATCGCTTTTACCGTCGGCCGCGCCTACGTTCCGGGATCTGGCGTCGCCATGATTGCTGGACACATCGACGCCTTGACGGCGAGGCTAAAGCCTATTAGCAAGAAGCCCAACAAGGCCGGATACCTTCAGCTTGGCGTGTCTCCGTATGCTGGAGCGTTGAACCACACTTGGTGGGATCGTGATCTCGGCATTGGCGGCAGGGTCATTGTCAAGGATCCTGAGACAGGCAAGACGTCTATCAAGCTTGTGAAGCTCGGCTGGCCCAGTACGTCTCTCAACTCCCGCTTCCGTGCTTGTTTCCGCCCAGTCTCTGTTCTTTACTAACCAACCCTCTCCAGTTGCCCGCGTGCCCACCGTAGCACCCCACTTCGGCGCCGGTATGATGGGCCAAAACAACAAAGAAACCCAAGCCGTCCCCATCATCGGCCTCGAAGACCGCAAGCCCACCTCCGACGCCCCCGAAACCCTCGGACCCGCCGGCTCCTTCGCCAGCACCCAACCCCCCCGCCTCGTCAAGCTCATCGCCAAAGAACTCGGCATCACCGACTACTCCCTCATCCTCAACTGGGAGCTCGAGCTCTTCGACACGCAGCCCGCGCAGACCGGCGGCCTCGATCGCGAATTCATCTTCGGCGGCCGCATTGACGACAAGCTCTGCAGCTGGCCGGCTCTCATCGCGCTCCTCTCCGCCTCCGAACCCGAAACCGCCTCCACGATCAAGCTCGTCGCGCTCTTCGACGACGAGGAGATCGGCTCGCTTCTCCGCCAGGGCGCCCGCGCCAACTTCCTCCCCATCGTGATCGAACGCACCGTAGAGGCCCTCTGTGCCTCCTCCCGCACGCCCTTCGGCCCCGGAATCGTAGGCCAGACCTACGCGCGCTCCTTCCTCGCCTCCGCGGACGTCACCCACGCCGGAAATCCCAACTTCCTCAACCTCTACCTCGACGAACATGTCCCCCGCCTCAACGTCGGCGTGGCCATCTGCGCCGACTCCAACGGCCACATGACCACCGACGCAGTCTCCACGGCCATCCTGCGCCGCGTCGCCGAGCTCGAGGGCTGCGAAACGCAGATCTTCCAGATCAGGAACGATACGAGGAGCGGCGGGACCGTGGGGCCCGCGCTTTCGAGCGCCATGGGGGTCAGGGCGGCGGATTTGGGACTGCCGCAGTTGAGTATGCATTCGGTTCGGGCGACGACGGGGGCCTTGGATCCGGGGTTGGGGGTTAAGTTTTTTAGGGGATTTTTGGAGAGGTGGGAGGAGGTTGATGGGGAGTGGAATTAGAGGAGGGATGAAGTTTGGCGTTTTCTTTTTTTTATCGCACATGTATGGAATGCTGCTTGGAGATGAATCTTGCACAGAATTGCGTTGTTTATCGTGGTTTACTGGAGGGAGAGCCTGGAACTGTATTGCAAGGTGTCGATAGATGTACGAGGAATAAGACAGTCGAGATTTAATTGTAATCAATCAATCAAGCATGAGATGAGCTTCCACACATTTTATACGCCTCTCATACTTCTTTCCAACAAATGACACAACGCTTTATATATATGAGATTCGATGCTAGTTGTCTATGATATCAAGGGTATGCGACTCCCTTCCCGCAATGCAAAAAGACAAAATAAATATCAGCGGAGTCCATCTCCAATATCCCACATCCAACCAAACACAATCCTCCCTTATGCTTTTCCCCCTCCCCGACCCGTCATTATTCAACACATTATCATTACCCCCACCCACCTGCTCTCCTCTCCTCTCCCCAAGCTTGCGTCAATTCATCATCATGACTCTCATCCATCATCGACGTGAACCCACACATATACACTCCCCTCCCTCATTTCCCACCACGACTGCTCCCCTCGCCCTTCCGGCTATTCTCCTCATCACTCCGCATCTCCTCCTCCTCCTCTTCCTCTTCTTCTTCTTCTTCTTCCTCTTCATCCTCCTCATCTACCCCCACCACCCCCTCAATCTTCCTCCTCTTCTCGAAGTCCTGCGTATGCGCATCAGCCAACATCCTCGAAAACGACCTCGCCGTATCAACCCTATACACCCTCCCAGCCCTCCCCTCCTCATCCACCACACCATCCGCACCAACAAGAGGTGACGTTCCCCCTTCCTCTGCGGCAGCTTCGGCGGCGGCGGCAGCAGCCTCAGCCGCCGCAGTGGTCGTCTCCTCGTCGGTTGTCACGAAGCGGTACGGGAGGGGCACGTCGCGAGACGCCTTGTACTGCGCCACGTTGGCGCAGTGTTCGTTCTCAACGCGGATGAGGGCCCACATGCCGCGGCGGGTGACCTCGAAGAAGGCGACGGCGAAGGAGACGACGGTGGAGTGTTGGGTGCTGTGGGTCCAGATGGCGAGGGCGACCCAGGAGAAGCGGAGGATGGGATCGAGTAGCATGATGATGTAGTAGACGCTGCGAGACTTGAGGGCCCTTATGTCGCGGAGGAGGAATCTGGGGGCGCCGGGTTGGAGAAGGGAAAAGTCCATGAACAGATCCCAGATGGCTAAAGGATTTCAGTTAGTTTAACTGCGACAGTTTTGGTGTAAGGGGGGGCAACGTACAGCAGTAGATGGAGTTGGCGATCGAAAATGTGATAAACAACGCCAAGGTAGCCCGAGAAGGTGTAATGCGGTAGAGAGATAGCATCACAGCGGCGATGATGGACATGGTGTACTTCCCGCCGTTGACGAGGTGGGGGAAGATGTTCTTCGTGTCACGATAACGGCGGAGGCACTGCAGGAAACGCCAGATCGGCGGCAGTGCGGAGAGGAAGCCGAGGAGGCGCGAGTGGTTCGAGTTGCATTGCACGGGGTTCTCCCAGTGGTTGGCGTACAGGCAGAAGAAGAGCTCGACGTTCTAGTGTTATTAGCAATCACGCAGGTCTTAAAGCTTCATAGAATGACATCACTTACACAGGTCGCATAGGTGAGCGAGCAATACATGTCACCGAGGAAGAAGTCCCTAAACTCGACAGGGTAGAAGCCAGCCAACAATAACCTCCACTACCTTGTAGGTTAGCAGTCTCATCGCGTCTGAGCTGGTCGGGGTGAAAAGAGCGACGTACGTGAGAATACACAAACCAGTTGCGGCTCTTCAACATAAAAGTCCGCAACGGCATAAAGATGATGGCTACAGAAGCGAAGATCATCACCACGGGATAGTAAAGATACATATTCGGCGAGCCATATTGGCTAAAGTTCAACCACATAAATATTCCAAACACAAATAGGAAAAAGCTGGGAAACTCGGAAAGTTGTTTCCAGTCCAGCTGATGGCGAGGGTCGAACTCGAAAATGAAGGGGTAGTTGATCTTGTACTTGTGCCAGAAACGGCAGTCGAGGCAGAAGAGCAGAAAGAGGTAGAGCATGAGAAAATAACCGGCGTAGATCTGCAGCAGGTAACTAGTCTGCTGCCGCAGCGTAAAGCCAGTATCCTCGTCTAGCAGTAGTTTGACGCCGAACGACAGACCCTGGACGGAGAAGACAAGGCCGGTGCCGATAAGTATGCCGCAACGGAAAGCGCTCCCCGACTTGTTACCACGGGGTCGTGTAAGACTGCGGAGCTTACCCGCTGCGATCTTGCGATTGCCCTTTTCAAAGTAACGGGCGTACAGGTCCTCGACCGTTTGGATGTAGGTGTCCAGAACGTCGCTCGTAACAAAATACGAGTTGTTAACCTTCTCGTTGAGGTATCGGTACGGGGGTCTCGCGCGGACAGCCTTGTCGTACTTCTTGTTGAGCTTTCGGAACGCCGTGCGGTTCAGCAGGGCATACGACTTGAGCAGCTCGAGACTGCGATAGAATTCTTGCAGCGCGAGTTTGAGCTTCCGCTTCGCCGAGCGGTACGGAACCACGCGGTCATCGGGACGGCGAATGTAGTCCCGGCGCGCATCTGCCGACTGCGGCCCAACGACAGGTGTTTGCGCCATCTTCTGCAGAGCCTTGGAGTTGGGTCCAGGTCGCACCATCTTAGACTTTATCGGGTTTATCCACTTGCTCCCATTGATACCCAGAAGAAGATCCTTGCCTTCTTCGTCGGAGGCTACCTTCGACCGCGACTTCGCCTTGGCTTTAGCGTTGGCTATCTCGTGGATGCGGCGGTTGCGCATTTCGCGTAGTTGCTCTCTAAGAACCTCGAGACGCTTGCCGGCCTGATCCTCCTTGAAACGGTAAAACTTTTCGACCTTTTCGAGTTCTGCATCGAGGAAGTTGTAGAATTCTTGCTGCTTCTCGCGCACCAAGTCTAGGTTCTGCAGGGATATATCGGCGGGGGATCGGCCGGGGCGGACTCGTATGGACGTTGTGGAGAAGAGGCGCTGGAGCGGATGAGGGGAAGGTGTAGCCGTCGCGACGGTCGTGGGTGTAGCGCCGGGGCCGGTACCGGGGCCGGTAGTAGGCTCGGCGCGGAGCCCATTGGGAATATCGACGCCGGTGGAGTGAGTGCGCAAGAGTGATGAGGCCCACGTACCAGCGTGCGCTAGTGAACCCTTCCACCTGCGACTGCTATATCCTGGCGGGACGGAGGTGCTCAGAGCCTCCTTGAGCGCAGGGGCGGGCAGCTCGAAGGGATTCGAGTCCTCGGCGTCGGGGGCCGGCGACAAGTAACCGGGGGTGGGTACAAAGCTACCATATTGGGTCTCGAAGCCGGGGGAGTTCGTCAAAAGGTCGGTTTCGTTGGGCCGTCGCGTGGGGATCGGTCGTGTGACGGAGCGCGGCGCGGTGCCGATGGGAGTGGTGCACGGTGAAACGTTCTCGTCGCTCTCATCGGCTCGCTCGGAGATGGTAGCCGGTTCGGTCCTCGTGGCAACGGGAGTGCGCTGGGGGCGCGTGTGAGTCCATGTTCCAGGACTAGGACCGGAGCGGTAATTGAAGTTGCGAGGGGTGCTGTTGGCGCGGACTATGGCCTTGGTTACGGCCTTAACGTGCTTCTTGCCGAGTTTGTAGTTGAGGTACTTGACTCTCCATTCTGTCGGAAATATCGGCCGTGTTAGCTGGTCTTTTTCCTTCTTTCTCGGTTGGGGAAGTTTTCGCGACGCGACGGGAACTACTTGTGGGGTGGAATAAAGAGAGAGGGGGGGGGAAAGTGTCGCGTACCGGGAACGAGCTCGCGGTCGAGCTCTTTAGCGAACTTCATCGTTCAAGGTGAAGCTGAGGCACTGCGTCTTGCGTTGTTTCCCTCTCTTAAGACATTGATCTAGGTAGGGGGAGCGCCGATCACAAAGGGCAGTTGACAACACACGATGCAGATCTCTATAAAGAGGGTACGAAGTAGATCGGACAGCACAGAACACCCGAGACCTATAAATGAAATTTTTTTTTCTTTCCTTCCTCTTCCCCTGCCTTGATAAAATTACGAGGCAAACGAACGAACAGAGAAAAAAGAAGGGCAAAAAGAGAGACAAGAAGAGGACTCCGAATTGAAAAGTTGCAGGAACGAACGAATGAGCGAGGACGAAGTAGTCGCCTCTTTGTATTTGTATGTTGGAACAAATTTGCAGGTGGATGGGCCGGTTCTCGTCTGGTTTTGGCCTGTGAAGTTCCCAGGATGAGGGATTGCGACACGGGATTGGACGAACTCTGGGAGGGACTGCGAGACCCCGGCAGATACTTCCAATTCTGGGTTGAGGGGTCCAGAGTATTGCATATATACATGCGCTCTGACAGGGGGTACCCTTTTGACAACTGTATTCTGCGAGTAGTCCGAGGTACTCCGAGGGCCGAGCGAGTCAATTTTCATGTGGGTGACGCGGTGATCCCCTAGCCCATAGTACCGTAAGTCTCGTCTTGTCGTAGTCTCCGGATGCACAGCGGCTGAACGATCTGAAGAGTGACAGGGCTGTATTGACTTCCCACCATGAACTTCGTAATCTGCGGGGGTACGAAGTAGTTTACACTACGACGAAATGTTCGTGCGAACTTGGAATAGTGTGTTTGGCGACTGCTGGCGTCGATCGGGGTCAATGGGAAAGTTGGTTGCTGGCTTCAATTTCAAGAACGATTTCCAAGCGCAAGGTACTTCGTGCGTGGGTATTTTTTTTCCTCCCCGTACGAAGTATTGTGGAGAATTTGCGAACGGCAGTCCCGACCCTCGTCGACGAACATGCGTCGTCCCCTGCGGCTTCCCGTCTCTGGGTCCAAGACTTGGACGAAGATCCACTACGAAGGTATAATACTCCCTTAAACGGGTCGGCGAGCCATCATCGACGTTGTTTGTGTCCATCGCCCAGTCCGTTCCTACCTGTCGAACCAGGGTCTGCATGTGCCCAACTCAATCCCCTGTCAATCCGAATCCACTGTTGGGGCAAACATCAGTTGATTGCCACAATGGGAAAGTGGTCATGAGCGCGGCCCTGATGAGAGAGATGCTGCATAGAACTGGGAGGAACCAGGCAGGTTTCTCTTGAATTTATCTCACCGTTTTTTTTTTTTTCTTGGTCCGCCTAGGAATTCACGCATACGGCATGCCTTAATGGTTGCACGACATCTGAGTCGGAACTAGGATGAAATGCCTGCAAATGGCGGACATCTTCGATGCTCCTTGACGCCCCGTCTGACCCGACAAGAATATGACGAAATTGTATTTGACCTTACCACGTTGGGTCCCCAGAGACGGTCTGGAAGTCGAATTTTCGTTGATGCAGTGCTACCTTTATGAAGTCTTGGTATTAATCTACGAATTACAGTACTTCGTAGTGGCGGGGATCTGTAGATCCTGCCAGGCGTCTTGGTCAAAGGTAGTTTTTTCGTCCGCCAAGCATCGAACAGGATCCATCTCGATCGGGAAAGGGGGCAATCTCCATTACCTAAGAGGCTTAAGGGTAGCCGAAGCCACGGTGATTGATGATCGTCCAAATGGGCACTAGCACCCGACCCTTTCCCTGGCACTACTGTGAGTGCTCTGTGTTGCCATCCAAAACCGATCAATTGATTGATGTCATCATCTCGGCTCGCTGTCATAGGCCCAAAGGCCACGGAAAGTCTGGGAGATAGAAAATAGCACTCGCAAGGGGTGGTGTGGTCCTTCCGCGATTGCTGGGTGGTCTTTCGTTGTGGGTGGGCTTGTACTTCGTACTTTGGAGGGACGAGTCACTCGAAGTCAGAAGCTCCACGCAAATGGACACGCAAATGGGAGCAACGACTTTGACATTGAATATGAGATTTGGCAAGGAGGGCGAAGCAGAAATTCCAAAGCTCGTTAGGTACTCTCTGCCAGGCATTCCGCCATGTTTCCTGGAGCGCGGAAGACAAGCGAGATTGACAATCAATTGATCCTAGGAGAGCTGCCAATGTACCCCCTGTTTGTAGTCCGAAACAAGACACAATCAGACACACCATGCAGTCGCTTGGATCGAGGGCACAACGATGGGCGAGCATCAATTGAGTTTAATCCCCGTTCAGAAATGGGTATCAATTATTACAAAGCAGTCAGGGATCAAGTCGTGAGATTTTTTTTTTTTCTTCCAAATTTATTTCCTGCTTGTTGGATTTTCACTTGACGAGGGTGTCTGTCGTCTTCCCCTTATGTGTTTCTGGTCTCTCTGCACTGAGTCTGCAGGCAATACCTTTGTAGCCCCGGCTGCATTCCGCTCCCATGCTCTCATGCTTGTCTTGATGGTGGAGCTCCGAGGAGCTCAACCCTCGCGGGGTAAATCTCAGTGATCGACAAATCCCGAGCCAGCTCTCCGGGTTTTGCACATCACTCGTTGATCATCGATCCTGGTGCCGCCAATAACATAAGCCAATCGTTGATGACGCCATCATGAAGGATCAAAATAAAAGAGGAAGGATCGGCTTTAATCGTGATTGCGTGAAAGTGAGGCAGCCAAGGCAGACCCATGTGGGAAGATAATGCAATGGGAAGGGGAAGAAAAAAAAATACGCCAGGGTAAAAATGAAGCGGTGGCCTTAGCAAGCGACCAGTCCAAACAACGGAAAAGAAGCAATATTTGACGCTTCTCTCAGGACACCAATGCACTCCCCGATCCGGAGAGGTGCATCAATTTCAGTCAACCCCCTCTGGTGTCGTGAAGCCGAATCTTCTCGGCGGTGAGAATCGCGGACTCAACCTTTTCCTCTGTAGGAACAAACACCTTCAACACAAGGTGTCTTTAGTCGTCAATTCAAGTTTACCTCTCAACATATCAACATATGCACCAAGCCCGAATATTACGCTACTTTGTCACTATTAATACGCCCGACTCTTTCAACGTTAATCCCAACATTATCCAAGGCCCACAAGCCCTGTCCGACAATCTTAACCCTCTCTATCCCAGACCCCACCTTATCCGATCGGCTGCCCTCGGAGCACGGCAGCTCTGTCTTTATCAACCGAGACTGTCCCACCAGCCCAAGCTCTGATGATGCTTTGTACGAGAACCCAAGAAAACAATTCCTAGAAAACCTCGGTATTGATATCCCGGTTCGATGGTTGGCAATTTCCTTGCGCATGCATCTGTGATAAGTATGATAACACCGCCACGCCAACACACGAGAGCCTAGGAAGTAGGCTCGGCACGGTATTTATACATTTCACTTCGCGTGCAGGAGGACTTATCGTCATTGGTGAAGGGATGAGTTGCCGTTGACTGCGCATCAAGGGAGGCCGGCTGGGGTATGTCATTGGCACATTGTGCATTCATTTGTCTGCACATGTTTGGAGGTGACCACCAGGCTTCCGTCTCGTTACCAGGCAATGCCTGCTTTGTAAATGTTTTCGGGCCATAATATAAATCGCTCGGGTTCCAAAGCATGCCGTCGTGATTAGTGCGTAATTCGTACCCCGAGGCACGCAACTCCTCCAAACTTAGACAGAGAGAGCCTAACGCTCTCGTAGGATCAGCAGCATTACGAAAAATTTCTGCTGAAAGCTTACGGCCGTCTCTCTCCTTTCTTCTTAAACTTGAAGCCCCAGGAGCGAACAACATTTCAGGCACTCAAGGATGGACTGGGTAAACGAGAATCCTTCATTCACACGTAGAGATCTGGAATGTTTTTCATTTTCTCCAGAAGCCAGCTCTTCGCTCTCCGTATATACTGCGCAGATACCAAAGCCAGAGCCTGTCTGTATAACACAATCTGTCGATATTTCGAATCTAACTGATTGTCGAAAAAGAATTCTTCGAACATAGATCATGGGGGGAAATCAGAGGGAGAATATGGTGAGTGGCTGGAATAGGTGAGCTATGAGTCTCCAGCATCACCTTATAAGTTATAACTAGAACCAACTGAAATACAAGGTCTCAGCTTCCAATTCCCAAACGAGCCCAAGCTTAATCCTCGCTCTACACTTGAGGGCAGGGCAAAGTGACCCAAACTGTAACATACACGCCGATGCGACGAGCTTGGGCTACACGAGAGAGACTTTCAAGTTGGCGGCTCGGACTATGTTTCAACATGGCTCAATTAGCGACATACTATGCAGGAGATCTACTGTGTGTTCACAAACCCACCGGTTGCTTGGGCTGGGTTGGACTCATTACGCTAGTCAATTGGTGAGTGCTCCGGTAGTTTCTTGTTTCTCCAGGACTAGTGTTTCCAAACTGCTTAATACCTCTCTCTAACTATACCCTCTCTATAGTCTACCACTGCAAATCTGATACGGAATTCTGCGAAGAAGGGAAGACATAGTCAAGTCTGTCACAGCATTTCCAGAAACCGGGTCAGCCTTTGGTGTTCTATACAGTACAGCGCACGACGCATACCCTAATTATGCGAAACTATTCATGAGCCAGACCAGTGACCCACATTGCCCACGACATCCGCTTTTGCTACTGATGGTGTTTGTTGAGCTAGAGCGGAAACGGCTCTTGAACGAATTTTATCGGCAAAAGAATGTCACGTATCGACAGATAAATTACCTAAAGCAAAAGTTCCTCTCTCACGGAATAGTCAATGAACCATTGGCAAACGGGAGGGTTGAAAGGCAGAATACCACACACCAGCTGGTCGACTACCGAAAGCGCAAATCCTGATCCCAAGGGTTCGGTTTTAAGCTGAACCTACTTGTGTAATATGTATAGGTTTGATTAGCTTAAATTACAGGCCTGAGAGGCACGTAGCTGATGGTGGTATACTGCAGTGGTACTGAGATGACTATTCGGCGGTATTCTAGCTAAATGCCAGAGGCGAGACGAC